CTTGGTGACTGGTCTCACCCCCAATCCAAAAAAAAAAAAAAAGTGGCGGAGGAGCCCATCAAGATTCAAAGTCGGGCCTAAGCCGGTCTGACCCAAGTTCCACCCCAATACATTCAACCCCCCCAGTATCGACCCAACATACCATCATCCTCAACCAACATTCCATCATCGGCCTATTCAGATTTGACCCGACCCGCCGCGACTCAATTCAGGCCTCAATCGGACAAACCTGCAGAGACTGGGGCGCCTTCCACGTTACCAATCACGGCTTACCCGCCGCCTTACTTGATGCCATTAAGCGCGCTGGCCTCACCTTCTTCAACGATAACTCAGTCGAAGACAAGCTGAACTACGCGTGTGATCCAAGCTCGGCGACGTCGGAGAAGCACGGCAACCGGATGTTGGAGAATAACGACACCGTTTTGGACTGTAGAGACTACTTCGACCACCACACTCTCCCCCTCGCGCGTCGGGACCCTACCCGCTGGCCTGATTTTCTTGCAGACTATCGACGGGTGGTATCCGAGTACGGCGATCACCGCCATTGAAATGGGGAATTGGACGGGTTTATCACCTCATCAGTTTCAAAGATATGTTGAAGGAGTTTGCTGCTAGAAAATCTGTGTTTTGGGAAGAATTTCAGCTGGCTCCTCACTTCCCTCGTTGAAACTCTGGTCCGCCAAGACCTGAGTGTTGCTCCGTTTTTTCAAAACTGAGCCAACGCCAACTGTAGCAATAGTGACTGAACTTCCAAGTCCAGTGGAAGAAGATGAGGGCTATAAGGATAACAATTTTCAGCATGGCAAAAAATGATGTGCTGTTGCATGGTGAGCAGCAGCAAATTCGTCATCATACAAGGCACGTAGAGGAAGGAATTTTAAGTGGCAATGATCACCGACTGAAGCATGACACTGAAACAAGTGGGTTTTGCTGCAATACACCATGTGCCAACCTCTGGCCACTAGAGACAGGTGTCGGTGGGGTCATTTTCTGCTTAAATGGAATTGGCTCTATTTTATGAAAGTCGACATGGTCAGTGGATAGAGAACGGACAAGCTTTCAGCTACCACACTGTGGGGGCATGTGAGGGATCAAGAAGGAAAAGAGAAAAGCAGTGGAAACAGAAACAAAAGCAAAAGGAAAAGAGAAAAGCAAAAGATTTTTCTATTATTATGATTCTTTATGGCTGCCAGCGACAGAGAGAGTGCAGAAGAAAAATACTGCAAAAGTAAGGAATAAACACCCTACCAGAATGATGTAATTTATTTTCCTTATCTTTCGGAAACATATGTATAAACCTCATCAGAGGGTAAAAAAAAAAAAAAAAAAAAAAGGCAAAGCCCAAAATAAATGGGCTGGAATGTTGCGAGGAGGGCAAAGGCTCATAAGCCCAAAATAGCACCAACCCGGTGACTAAAATTACATCCAGTACTACAAAAATTATTCAGCACCCTGCCGCTACTACCACCAACCAGGTGATCAAAAGTACACCCAGTACTCCAAAATTATTCGGCAACCTACCGCTATTACCACCAACTAGGTGATGAAATGTACAACCCGTACTCTAATATCATTTGGCAACTAGCCATTCATGCCACCAACTAGGTGATGAAATATACAACCCGTACTCTAATATCATTTGGCAACTAGCCATTCATGCCACCAACCAGGTGATGAAATGTACAACCCATACTCTCCTTCATGCCACCAACCAGGTGATCAAAAGTACGCCTAGTACTCCAAATTATACATGAGCAGTACTTATGTCATTCATACATAAACATTCATGAGCTTCACTCATGACAATTATGCATAAATATTCGTGACCATCATTCATGTCAACATTCATGAGCATAACTCATGTTAACATTCATGAGCATCACTCATGACAACATCCATGAGTATCACTCATGTCAATCAACATAAACATTCATGAGCATCACTCATGTCAATCAGCTTCAAAAGCTTTATTTACAAAAGCTCCAGCTTCGAAAGCTTCATTTACAGAGCTCTAGCTTCAAAGCTTCACTTGCAAAGCTTCACCTACAAAGCTTCAGTGCAGGGTATACAAATACCGCCTCCGAACAACCGCCACTTCGGCCCATACATGGATTCAATTTGAAGTCTCTAGCCAACAGACTCTATTGACCGAAGACTTGGGGGACTACATTATGTACCATATATTGGGCCTCAATTGGGCCTCATGAAAAATACTTGGGGGACTCTAGCCCATTATTTATGTATTAAGAAGCGAGCCCTTATTCTATAAAAGGGACTTCCTCACTTTCATTAAAAGATCACCCATGATTTATGTATTGAGGAGCGAGCCTTTATTCTATAAAAGGGACTCCCTCACCACCATTAGAGAGCATCGCCGCATACTAAGCAATCGCATCGCCGCAAGCATCACTCCTAACCCATCACTTGTATTAAGGAGCGAGCCCTTATTCTATAAAAGGGACTCTCTCATCACCATTAGAGAGCATCGCCGCCTACTGAGCAACCGCCTCGCTGCGAGCATCAACTCTAACCCATCACTTATGTATTGAGGAGCGAACCCTTATTCTATAAAAGGGACTCCCTTACCACCATTAGAGAGTATCGCCGCCTACTGAGCAACCGTCTCGCTGCGAGCATCAACTCTAACCCATCACTTATGTACTGAGGAGCGAGCCCTTATTCTATAAAAGGGACTTCCTCATCTTCAAACGCCACAAGCCGAGCCAACCAAGGCAACATAAGCTACAAGCAGAGCGGCCTCGCAACATGTGCTACTTCTAGTTGAGCATCATTTCAGATTGGGCACCGCCTCATATCAAACATTAGTTCTAGACGACATCTAGTTACTTCGACCCACACATGGACTGAATTTCAAGTCTCTCCAGCCAAAAGACTCTCTTGACTGAAGACTTGGGGGACTACTATTTATACCATATTTAGGGCCTCGTATTTAGATCTCGTACAAATACTCATGGGACTTAAATGTAATTATGGGATAAAGGAAGGGGCAAATATGTAATAAGTGAGGAGTCCTTATTCTATAAAAGGACCCCTCACCCTCACAATTAAGGGGAGGCTCATTCTCACCATCAGAGGCCATTTCTGAAGCCTCTCTCACCCTCTCAACGCTCTCACTCTCCCTCACTTCTCAGAGAAATATAATACAATCAGTGTGGACGTAGTAGCCTAAATCTTGGGGTGAACCACGATACATCTTATGTTATTTACATTACTTGCAGATTCACGGCCGGATTTACGTTGTTCCAAGACCTCCGGTTTTGTGCATCAACAACTCTCTCCCAGACCTTCATTGTATGACTCATTAGCTTAATACCCCTATAGTTCATGCAATTTTGTATGTCGCCCTTATTCTTGTAGATAGGCACCAAAGTGCTCTTTCGCCACTCATTTGGCATCTTCTTCGTTTTCAAAATCATATTGAAAATGTCTGTGAGCCATGCTATAACTGTATCTCCCAAGACTTTCCACACTTCGATTTGTATATCATCTGGGCCCACTGCTTTTCTATGCTTCATTTTTTTCAGAGCTATAACCACTTCTTCATTCCTAATTTGGCAGTAAAAAGAGTAGTTTTTACATTTTTCTGTGTTACTCAATTCCCCTCACCCCCAAAGAAGTACTCATTTCACGTCCTTCATTGAAAAGATTATGAAAATAACCTCTCCATCTGTCTTTGACCGCGTTCTCTATAGTAAGAACCTTTCTATTCTCATCCTGGATGCACCTCACTTGGTTTAGGTCCCTTGTCTTCTGTTCCCTTACTCTAGCTAGTTTATAGATATCCAACTCTCTTTCTTTGGTATCTAGTCGCTTATACATATCGTCAAAAGCCGCTAGCTTAGCTTTTTTCACAGCTTTCTTCGCCTCCTACTTCGCTATTATATACCTTTCACCGTTTTCATCGGTCTTATCCTTGTATAAGGCTTTACAACATTCCTTTTTAGCCTTAACCTTTGTTTGTACCTCCTCATTCCACCACCAAGATTCTTTTTGGTGTGGAGCAAAGCCCTCATACTCTCCTAATACCCCTTTTGTTACTTTTCGGATACAACTAGCCATGGAATCCCACATTTGGCTAGCTTCCCCCTCTCTATCCCACACCCATTTGGTGATTACTTTCTCTTTGAAAATGACTTGTTTTTCTCCTTTTTGTAGTGAAGAAAATGGACAAATACGGTTAAGAAAGAAATACAAAATGATTATCATTTAATCCAACGGTCATAAGGTTTCTGTTTTGGATGATTAGACATAATACTTGATGGAAGACGCGATCAGATCGTTAAAATATATTACGGAGTGCTCTAATGTTGGTGGTCTTACATGTAATTATTAGCACTCTGAATTTGATTCGGAATGGCGGTAGCCTCGACTCCAGTGATTAGGGTTTTAGCTCTGCTTTAACTGGTTCGCTTTCCCTGCAATTTATTTTTGTTTTCTGTTTGATTTTGTTCCATGTCTTAGTGATTTTGGTTAATCTTCAATCTTCCCTGGGCTTCTGTTTCACCTTGATCTTCAGACTTTCTCTTAATTTTGTGCATTGCCAAATTTCAAAAATTGCAAACTTAATAGCCTATCCCCAAATTTTGCAACTTAGGTTGCAGTATAAATTATTGGTTGTTTACAATATAATCCTTTGGAACCGATCACCATCTTAACCTCCTCTGTGGTGAACGTAGGTATTAATGAAGTGTTTTCAGCCTAAATCATTTATTAACTAATGATTTAAAAACTTAATTAACCTTTTGTAGAAAAAATGGACATGTAGAGGATAAACGGGAGAAATGAGAAGGAACAAAAAAGAAAGGTTGCTAACATTCTCCGAAAATGTTATGTTTACTGTCATTTTTTCTTTTCGAAAACGAAAATAGTTATAAAAGCCATCATCCAACGATGAAGATCAAGCACAAAAGTTAAAAAAAGTGCCAACAGAGGTATAGAAGAACAAAGATTAAGAAAAAAGCCAACAGAGACCGAAGAAATGATAACTTAAAAGACTTGAACTAACTAAAAGAATGATCAATCACGATTGAGTAGTACTCAGTCGACTACAACCAGATTTTGGTACTCTTCTCTACATATTGCTGCTTCCATGACATGATCCTGATCGACATCCCCGTCCCTATCCAAGAACAACTTGAGGAAATCATCGGAGTAGCCACTATAGGTGGTCATCCCTGATAGTTGTGAACATTTGATCTTGTTGTCATGAGACAAGTCCCAGAACACTATGTGTGGCACCACATAGCCTTTCTCTTCAAACTTGCTCCTCATTGCCTGATAAGTAATCGGCCAGTGATCCGCGTGGCTGGAAGACATATCAAAGTCCAAGTGGGCAAAAACTAGCACCTTCTTGATCATATGTTCCGGCTTCAAATTAGCATTCAAGGCCTCCTGGAGAATCAAATTAAGCACCTTTTGAGTTGTAGTGCTATCTCCAAGGCCTTTCATGTCGCTCAAGAAGGCGCGCTTAGACTCGAGATCATTGCCTTGTATGAGATGGAGCTTATCAGGATTACGAGTGAAAGGGATGACCTTTCCTTTCCAGGGCTCGTGATCACTCAGTTGAGACACCAATAGCCCCATAGCCACCGACACCCAACTCAAGGTTCCCGTGACTTCACATACAGCCAAGCAATTCTTCAACTTGCCTTTGTTAGACAAGTCCTCCACCATTGCCTTCCATTGAAGTTCAGAGCAGATGATCTTATGGGGAAGAAGAACATCTGCCGAAGTATTGAACTTGCCGGCTTTCACGTTACCCCACCCAAAAATATGGACTATGCTCCCACACCGGCTCCAAAACCTCTTTACTTAGCCGATTCAGGACTCTATATGTGTAATCAACCTCGTTCTCGCTCTCTTCCTCACCGCGAGGAAAAACCTTCCTCGCGATGCTTTCACACAGTGGAATAGTAGTGACAGCAATACAGCTGGCATTGTAATTGTAGGACGTGTAGCCGTTTCTGGCTATGGGTCCAAGGACAAAGGGCGCACTTGACTTGCTAAAATCATCACAATTTATTTTCTCATTGGGCTTCTTTTTCTTCAACTTTTCAAAATCAGACCTAAAGTCGGCCGCAAAAACATCTGAAACACGATTGTGTAAAAACTGATAATTGGGGTCACGCTCGTGTCTTTCAAGAACACCCTTCTTGTGGATGGCAACATCAATGACACTTGTTGATGCACAAAATCAGCGAAGACTTTGGTACAACAGAAAGTGTCAGGTTTTGTGACCTTCGCTTGGTTGCTTCGGTCACTAGTGAGGATAAGTACGTAAATGAATAGAGACAGAGAAGCAAACACAGGATGTACGTGGTTCACCCAGATTGGCTACGTCCACGGAGTAGAAGAGTTCTTATTAGTAGTGAAGGGCTTACACAAGTACAAATGATCAAGCTCTCAATTTAGTGAGTTCTTGTGAATGATTTAACACAAATGGCATTAGCCAATATTTGTGGGGAATGGCCCCTATTTATAGAAAAACTTGTAGCTTTGTCACATTGACATGTGTCATGTTATGATTGGTTCTTGATGTCGACACGTGCTGCGCTCTGATTGGCTTCTAATCTTGACACGTGTCGAGTAGTGATTGGCCTCCTGGTCGGAGGGGAACTCTTCTGGGTCCTTGACAGTATAGCGTTGGCCGGTGCTCGGTAGTTTCGGGATTGGTCAAGTATGGTACAAACAGTGCTCCCCTAAGTTCCCGAGTGAGGGAAACTCCTCGGTTGGGGACTTGCAAGATCCAATCCCTTGAGTAATCACGAAACTTCTAAGTACCGAAGTGTGGTCTGATCTTCATCTGCCCTTCTCTGGAAGTACCTTTCCTCCATCCGGGAATGGTGTATTTAGCTGATGTTGACGCACAAGGTAATGTATCAATTTCACTTGAAGCTTAGTTGTAGTTTCGGGCTTAGTCAAGTGTGATACAAACCCTATAGTAGGAGTCCCCCAAGTCGCCGAGCTAGGAGATCTGCCGAAAGAGGTGACAGACAAGGTAAGCAGTCAAACTTCCAAGTAAGCAACCCAGGATCAGAGGTTTGACTTCGGCTTCCGGTTGATTGTTCTCCTTCTCCTTGTCTCTCATTCAACTGCCAGGATAAGGAGAAGCAAATGGATAAGAGATGATATGAGATACTTTTGCTTTTGAAGAAGTAACTTTCCACAGGCTTATTCTTGAACTGTGCTGGAGGGTTTTCTGGTGCCCTTCAGAGTATAAGGCCGACTCAAAAATTTGAGGGTCAAAACAAGTCCATCAAATCTAGAGTACGTTCGACCTTGATGATATGGGATACTTTTGCTGTTGACGGAATAATGAATGTGGTATGGAAAGGTGTCGTGCTGTAGTGATCTGTTTCAGCTCACCGTTGAACCTTCTGCTTCAATCTTTTGCATGGCAGAAGTGGTGTGCAACCTTTGCATTTAAATGGTCCTTCAGAACATTCCTTCATAGTGACTCATCCACGCTTGGCAGCTTCAGTGTAAAGAGCCAATATCTGATCAACTGTCATGAGGTATTTGCCGGTGGAATTCGTGACCTTGACAGCAGTTGAGGATGAGTACTCGAGAGCAATGCTAAGTAAGCAACCAGGCAAAGGCTCCAGGCAGTCAGTTCCAAATTGGAGGTTTGATTTCAGGTTCCGACTGACTGCTCTCTTTCTCCTTGTCCTGCAGGTGTGGACAAGGACAAAGACAAAGATAGGGAGAAAGCATGATATGGGATACTCTTGCTTTCGACCCTGATGATATATGAGATACTCTTGTTCTTGGTGTGGCTTATTTGCTGAGGTATTATCGGGGGGAAATAAAGCTGAGTATTTCGAGAGGTTATGTTGAGGGTGCCTTTTCGAATGCGAGAAAGGGTTGAGCATTTTTGCAGGTTTGCCTGTCCGTTGAGGAGGGAGGTCAATGTATATAGGGATTTCCCAATAACAAGTAGTAATGCTATTCCTTTACCCTTCTTGGTCACAGCAATGTAGTGGGAGCTGCCAGCTTCACGTGTTTTAATTTTGTCAGAGCATTTTGAAAAAGTGGTATGTGGTATCTGGAAAGCTGATGTTACGTGTGAAGATTACAGACAAGCTTTATCTAAGGAAATCTGGCTCTCGAAGTTCTGAGAGTTGTGCCTCTTCGGTTTTCGAACAAGCAATCCCGTCGAGGATCTGACTCTCGAGATTCGGAAAGCGGTGCTACTCCGGTTTTTGAGAAAGTAATTATGTTGGGAGTCTTTTCTCGAATGTGAGTAAAGGTTGGACGTTCTTGCCAACCTGTCTTGCCGCAAAACACGGAGGTCGACACACATAGGGACTTTCCAGTTGTCAAGCAGTGGTGCTGTTCCTTTACCCTTATGGGTAATAGTAGGGTAGCTGGAACTTCGAAATTCTCGTGCCTAAACTTTGTCAGAGATCTTTGACAAAGTTATATGTGGTACCCGAGGAGTTGATGGTGCATTTGGAGAGCGGTGATTGAACAGTAAGATTCACGTGCTTTTTACTTCACCAGAAATCTTCGACAGATTGCCCGTAATTTTCGCAAAGCTGATTGTGCATGTGACAGGTGCTGACGAGGCTGAAAAAGCAGGTGCTTCTTCGATTTCTGAGATCGGCCCTCGTGGTCTCTGAGCAGCCCAGCTTTTGAGAAAGCAAACGCCTCTTCGATTTCTGAGATCGGCCCTCGTGGTCTCTGAGCAGCCCAGCTTTTGAGAAAGCAAAAGCCTCTTCGATTTCTGAGATCGGCCCTCGTGGTCTCTGAGCAGCCCAGCTTTTGAGAAAGCAAACGCCTCTTTCGATTTCTGAAGCTCCGTCGAGTGCAGATTTTTTATAGAGGCTGGCATTAAGTTCCACAGCACACCTGAATCTCTACCAGTAGAAGCTCATTTCTTGCACTTCTAAGATCTTGATTTGTCTGACCTCTTCCTTCTTCAACACATTTGAAAATGTCTGGACCCTCCGACCGTCGTTTTGACCTGAACCTTGGAGAAGAGACAGCCACGCCTTCTCCAGACAACATATGGCGCCCATCCTTCATATCCCCTACTGGTCCTCTTACCGTTGGGGATTCTGTGATGAAGAATGATATATGACCGCTGCAGTGGTGGCCAGGAACCTTCTCACTCCCAAAGATAACAGACTACTTTCCAAACGGTCTGATGAGTTGGCTGTTAAGGACTCTCTGGCTCTTAGTGTTCAGTGTGCAGGTTCTGTGTCTAATATGGCCCAACGCCTATTTGCTAGAACCCGCCAAGTTGAATCATTGGCTGCTGAAGTGATGAGTCTCAAACAGGAGATTAGAGGGCTCAAGCATGAGAATAAGCAGTTGCACCGGCTCGCCCATGACTATGCTACAAACATGAAGAGGAAGCTTGACCAGATGAAGGAATCTGATGGTAAGGTTTTACTTGATCATCAGCGGTTTTTGTGGTTTGTTCCAAAGGCATTTATTGCCTTCGTCCTCTGGGGCTGTACCTGGTAATGAAGCTTCAAATGATGAACCTCCAATGCCTCCTCCTTCTGGGGTTTTGTCAAGTACTGAGGCTCCGGATAACCACCCTCCAGTGCTTTCTCTTTTCTGGGGCTCTACCGACTGCTGAGACTTCCCCTAAGCAACCTTTGTGAAGGCTCCCTTTTGTTTGTTTATTTTGACTCATGTATATGTACATATTTGTGGCTTATCGAAAATATTAATAAATAAGCTTTGCTTCATTTCAATATATTGTGTTAAATACACCAAAGCCTTCTTCATAAAGTTCTTTGAATTTTTTGCTTTTGTTGAAACCTGTATTGTTGAAGCTTTGTGAGTGAAGCATGTAGTTTGAGGTAGTGTTCCCTTAATTTCCCGAGTGAGGAAAACTTCTCGGTTGGAGACTTGAAAAAATCCAAGTCACTGAGTGGTTGTGAGACTGCCGAGTATTAAGGTGCAGTAGCATATGGTGGGAGTCCCCCAAGTCTTCAGGCGAAGAGAGTTGCCGAATGAGGTGTCTCGCTTGTTACTAATTTGTCAAAGTAACGAATCCTTGTTTCGATGTCACACATTCGCATATGCCTTATCTAAAAATATTTCCAACTTTTGTGTGTTTGATGCTGCATGCTATTGACTAGACAAGATCAAGTGCAATTAGTAGCTTTTCTCTCTTTTTCATCTTTTCTTTGGTGGAATTGCTTTTCGTTTCCACTAATCAGCCTGAGTGGATGCAAGATAACACCATTCTCTATAACTCAGATCGCAAAGTCGTCTTCATGAAAGTTGTTCCTTATCTTGTGAACTACAACATCTCCAAATTTGAGATCCATCGGAGTAGTACAACTCCAGAAATTCAGGTATGATGAGTAACTGTTCATCAATTTTCTGTTAACCCGTCAGACTTGTTTGTGAGCTTCTAAACTCCATTTTTTCTTGTTCATCTCAACATACTTTCTTCATCGAAGTTGTTCCTCACCTTGTCAGCTACAACATATCCAAATTTGAGATCCATCAGAGCAGTACAAATCCAGAAATTCAGGTATGATGAGTGACTGTTCATCATTTTTCTGTCAACCTGTCAGACTTGTTGTGAGCTTCGAAACTCCATTTTCTCTTGTTCAGATCAACATACTTTCTTCATCGAAGTTGTTCCTTAACTTGTGAACTACAACATATCCAAATTTGAGGTCCCTCGGAGCAGTATAACTCCAGAAAATCCAGGTATGATGAGTGACTGTTTATCATTTGTCTGTCAACCCGTCAGATTTGTTGTGAGCTTTGAAACTCTATTTTCTCTTGCTCAGATCAGCATGCTTTCTTCATTGAAGTTGTTCCTCAGCTTGTGAACTACAACATATCCAAATTTGAGATCCCTCGGAGCTATATAACTCAAGAAATTCAGGTATGATGAATGACTGGTTATTATTTTTCTGTCAACCCGTCAGATTTGTTGTGAGCTTCGAAACTCCATTTTCTATTGTTCAGATCAGCATGCTTTCTTCATTGAAGTTGTGCCTCATCGTCTCTTTCATAACATATCAAAAATTCAGAATGAACTAATGGTTAAATATTTCCAGATCTTCGAAACATCATAGCAGCTTCGAAATCTGCAAGAATCCGACTGTCATGTTTGGAGCTTCAACACTTTAATTTCCGTCGCTCAAACAGAAATGGTTCCTTCTTGAAAGTTGTTCATATGCTCAAAAACTATAGGGTGTCCAAAATTCAGCTCCATTGGAGAAGAGCAGAGGTTGCAGAAATTTGATAGATGAAAGGAGGCGGAAGAGGGAGAGAGAGAAAAAGTCTCTTGGGTTGGATTTCTATTTTGGGGCAGATTCCAAGTTTTGTAGCACCTTCATTATTGATGAATTGCTTGTACTTTTGTCCATTATGAAACTTGGGACTTTTGGCTTGTTGTTGGATCTATTATAATATGTTTGGAAACATATACATAATTGCTTGTTTGGTTATGACAGGGATGTTGTGGGTGTAGAACAAAACAAATGTTTGTGTTGACCTGTGTTTTTGTACAAGTTCAAGGGCATCTTGGGTTTTGTGAACAAAATTTGTTTATTTGGAGCAAGGTTTTGTGTTGAAGCTTTGTAGGTGAAGCTTTGGTGTTGAAGCTTTCTAGGTGAAGCTTTGATGGTGAAGCTTTCTGGGTGAAGCTATGTAGGTGAAGCTTTCTAGATGAAGCTTTGTAGATGAAGCTTTCGAGGTGAAGCTTTGATGGTGAAGCTTTGTAGGTGAAAGTATGTAGAGGGAGCTTTCTAGGTGAAGCTTTTTTAGGTGAAGCTGTGTAGGTGAAGCTTTTTTTAAGTGAAGCTTTTCGGGTGAAGTTTTTTGGGTGAAGCTTTGTGGGTGAAGCTTTTTAGGTGAAGCTTTTTGGAGGTGAAGTTTTTTTTTAGGTGAAGCTTTGGGGGACTACTGTTTATACCATATTTAGGGCCTCGTATATTTGGGCCTTGGGCCTTGTATTTGGGCCTCACACTAAAGCCCATACTTTGTAAAAGAGGAGGAGCCCCTTATTCTATAAAAGGGGACTCCTCCCCTCATTCTAGAGGAGGCAAAAGAGAAGTTCTCATTACATTCAGGAGAGACCTCACACCACCGAGGCTCTCCTCTCCCTTCTCTTCTTTCTCTGGGGGACTTCCCCAAACACTTGTATCCATACAATTACAGAGAAACAGAATCAACTACAGTGTGGACGTAGCCCAAACATTGGGGTGAACCACGATAAAATCCTTGTGTTCTTTGTGTCATTTACATTTCATGCAGATTCACGGTCGGATTTACGTTGTTCCAAGACCATCCGGTTTTGTGCATCAACATTTGGCGCCGTCTGTGGGAATCGACACGAAAAGCTATGTCGGTTCTTTTTCATTTTTTTCATCAAATCTCACCTCCACCTTGAAACCTGCACAAACCCAAGCAAAAAACCAAAAGTACCATCCTGTGAACATCAAAGTATGGTAAACCAATTTTTCACAAACCCTCCAAAAGCTTCTTAATTTCCCCTGATTTTCGATCGCCAAATCAGGCCCAATTCCCTGGATTAGGATTTTTGCGGTTTCCAATCATGTCCTCTGAAGAATTGGGTCTGGTTCACACCCAGAACGGGCTCAACTCGCCACTCTCCGATGCCACAACCCGGCCCAATCCTCCCTCCTCCTGATGGATGTGATAAAGCAGTCGCAGATCTCGCTTCGAAAAGAAGCGGAGCTGTTGTCGTACGACCCAGACGACACGCCGCTGCCGAATCTGCCTTCCGTCAAAGAAACACTAGCGGAGTTGGATCCATCCCCGCCGTACCTGAGGTGCAAGCATCGCAAAGGGGGGCGGCTGAGGGGCGTTCAGACGCTGACCTGCGTCTTCTGTGGCAGAAAACACTGCAAGGACCTCCTTCCCGACCCCATCAATTTCCGGGATACTCTCGGGTACCGTTGGCTGCTCCAGTACCTGAGAGAGTTGAGAGACAGATCGCTCATTTCCACAGCTGCTAGCAAGATGAAGAAGCCCGGGTCCGAGCCATCGCCGAAATCGTCAGCTCCAAAACGACGACTTGAACACCAACAAGACATTACCACCGTTCCCGATCCGAACTCGAGTCGGGTTTGACCACTAGTCCGATGCGTCGCAGGTTTCTGCTGCCCCAAGCAGCGCCACCGGTCCGATCCGTCTCCATCATCTCTCTCTACTTTCTATCTCTAGAGCTCCGACCCTCTACGGCCATGGCTACACTCCATAGACTGCCCTATTTCTCTCTACAAATCAATATTGGGGTGAGAAGCTGCAGGACCCTGCACTTCTTCAATCATCCATTGGGGCACGTGATTTAATAAACTTGTGATTTGCTGTTCCATTGTCTGGGTGAGAAGCAGCTAATGGAAGGAAGTCATGGAATTATTGTTCAACGACTTTTTCCGTCTGTACTCCACTGGGATCCTGCCGCTTAGTCGGTTGTAGCGAAGCGACAGCAACGACAGCACAAGATAGCTCCCAAAATTTACTGGCACGTAACCTTCGATTTTGTTAAAACCCAAATCAAGGGCGACGAGCTCTCCACCGCCATTGCGCTCCGGGATCTCGACACCTGTCAGGTTGTTATTCACCAAGTCAACTTGCTGGATAGACGGGAGGAGAAAGAACTAGAGCATCTGAAGTCTGAACTCTCTCTCTCCCTCCGCTGTCAACTCTCTCTTAGTCTCGCAGTCAACTCGGACAAGGGAAACAGCTAAGAAGCTTGTGGGCATTTCATTGCATCCATAACTAGCAAGAATGATGATGTTGAAAATAGAGCAAGCTTGTGCGAATGAATACTATTGTTTTATGCGCTGGATCCCATTGTTTTTTATGAAGGAGAGAAACCGCCTGGTAGAGAGATTCTAGAAACATCTGCAAGAAATCTCCTTCTCAGTGATGGGACTAAAGTTGCTGTCAAGAACAAAGAAGGAGTGGAGACAGCGCAGGAGCCAGCATTACACACCACTTGGCCTTACGGATCAAGGACAGAGAATGAGTGGAGAGATAAAGAATAGCAAATGGTCATTGAGGTGGGGTTTCTGAAGACAAAGAAATGGAGTGGGAGGCCATGTTCTTTACGTTATTTACATTTTTTACAGCTGGAGTACACCATCTTGTGTTCAAACAGCAGAAACCAGGCCGAAAGAGAAAGGCAGTGGCGGACAAAGCAAAAGGAAAAGAGAAAGAAAAGGGAAAGTAAAAGCAAAAGCAAGTGAGTGTGTCTGGAAGTGGAGAGATCAAGGAGGGAACAGAAAAGAAAAAGGGAGAATCATGGGGAACACATGGTGGGCAACACAAAAAGAGAAGAGAAAAAGGAAGGCTCCCTCGGGAGCACATAGCAAAGCTAAAAAAGAGAAGCAAAGCAGAAAAGCAATGGGGAACAAAGCATAAAAGAGAAAACAAAGAAAATGTAGCAGAAAAACACTGCAAAAAAAAAAAAAAAAAAAAAAAAAAACAAGGAATAAATACCCCATCAGAGGGTAATATGTATAAACCCCATCAGAGGGTAAAAAAAAAAAAACGGCAAAGCCCAAAGTAAATGGGCTGGAATGGTGTGTAGAGGGCGAAAACCCATAAGCCCAAAATAGTTCCAACCAGACGATCAAAAGTACGCCCAGTACTTCAAATCATACATGAACATTACTCATGTCAATCATACATAAACATTCATGAGCATCCCTCATATCAATCATACATAAACATTCATGAGCATCACTCATGTTAACATTCATGAGCATCACTCATGTTAACATCCATGAGCATCACTCATGTCAATCAACATAAACATTCATGAGCATCACTCATGTCAATCAGCTTCAAAGACTTCATTTACAGAGCTCTAGCTTCAAAGACTTCATTTACAGAGCTCTAGCTTCAAAGACTTCATTTACAAGAGCTCTAGCTTCAAAAGCTTCATTTACAAGAGCTCTAGCTTCAAAGACTTCATTTACAGAGCTCTAGATTCAAAAGCTTCATTTACAAAAGCTCCAGCTTCGAAAGCTTCATTTACAGAGCTCTAGCTTCAAAGCTTCACCTGCAAAGCTTCACCTACAAAGCTTCAGTGCAGGGTATACAAATACCGCATTCGAACAACCGCCACTTCGGCCCATACATGGATTCAATTTGAAGTCTCCAGCCAACAGACTCTATTGACTAAAGACTTGGGGGACTACATTATGTACCATATATTGGGCCTCAACTGGGCCTCATGAAAAATACTTGGGGGACTTAGCCCATCACTTATGTATTGAGGAGCGAGCCCTTATTTTATAAAAGAGACTCCCTCACCTTCAAACGCCACAAGCCAAGCCAACCAAGGCAACATAAGCTACAAGCAAAGCGGCCTCACAACATGTGCTACTTCTAGTTGAGCATCATTTCAGATTGGGCACCGCCTCATATCGAGCATCAGTTCTAGACGACATTTAGTTACTTCGGCCCACACATGGACTGAATTTCAAGTCTCCAGCCAAAAGACTCTCTTGACTGAAGACTTGGGGGACTACTGTTTATACCATATTTAGGGCCTCGTATATTTGGGCCTTGGGCCTTGTATTTGGGCCTCACACTAAAGCCCATACTTTGTAAAAGAGGAGGAGCCCCTTATTCTATAAAAGGGGACTCCTCCCCTCATTCTAGAGGAGGCAAAAGAGAAGTTCTCATTACATTCAGGAGAGACCTCACACCACCGAGGCTCTCCTCTCCCTTCTCTTCTTTCTCTGGGGGACTTCCCCAAACACTTGTATCCATACAATTACAGAGAAACAGAATCAACTACAGTGTGGACGTAGCCCAAACATTGGGGTGAACCATGATAAAATCCTTGTGTTCTTTGTGTCATTTACATTTCATGCAGATTCACGGTCGGATTTACGTTGTTCCAAGACCATCCGGTTTTGTGCATCAACAACACTATTGTGGCTGCCTCCTTCTGGAAGGAGAAGCCGGTACAGAATAATGACGAATTCCCTTAAACTGCCAAAAGAAACCTGGGAACGTTCTCCGCCTGCAATAGCCTCGATGTTGCAGGCTAGGGTTTTGGGGTGGTTGTTGTGGAGCCAAACCAGCGCCGTGTGGAAGAATTCCCTTTCCCTTGTTCCATAGCGGTTTGCTAGGTTGCAAATGAGCTTGAGGGTAGTAAGGGAATCGTGGGACCAGGCCAGCGGGAGCAATGACTTCAGACATTTGTAAGGATCACAGGAGCCAAAGGGATCCGTCAAGGAATCGGAATACATATCTTCATGGTCGTCAAAAGGTTCATTAAAGGACTCCAAATACAGATCAACGCAGGGGTTGTCACCAAAGGATGAGGATGAGGTGGTGGCGGTGGCGGTGGAAAGAGAAGCAATTCTTGCTGTGAGGTTTTTGTTACTTGCTCTGACCACAACTGGGGAGAGGATTTTCCCAACTTTCACTGCGACTTTCATCATCATCATAAACGCACGCACGACAACAATTTGCCGATTCGATCTTCTGTTTAGGGTTTAGGGTAACCGGGGGCGGTAAACAATATGTAAACAAATCCAACTTTACTTTCGGTAGCCCTATATAAATAAATAAAGGCTTTTTTTAAGCTAAAATTGTCTTTGAGATTGATATAATTTCTTACTTTTGTCCTTTGGAGATTTGAAATCGATAAAAATAGTCTATGAATTTGTCTATCGTCAATCATTTTGGTCATTTCAAAAATCTATGTTAAATTAAGATCAAAATAACAAAAATATTCTTAATTTAATAAACAATGAGTTAAAATGATTTGACAAAATTGAGGGTATACTCAAGGGATATTTTGGATAAAAAAATCATAAATAAATAAATAATCCCCAAATGATAGAAATTCATGATTCTTACAATCTAAATTTCTGATATTTAGTGTCGAAGTGGCAGAAAGTATGTAGGAAATAATCACATTGATTATACAGATCTTCTTTCTGTTTGGAGAATGGCATCAACAAGCACGACCATAATGTCCAAGACTCCAACCCTTACTACAATTCCATTGGGAAAAATATGGAGAGGGAAAAAAGCAAAGTCTGGCATCCACATATCCACTGAAGACTCAAAGAGTTCGAATGACTTCCAAATTTCCAAATCACAGGTTTTGCAAATGTCAAGCACACGTACAATGTCAACATCAAATTTTAAGATTTGTCAATCACAAGATATTCGTGGGATAGATAAGTGAATAGAAAAAAAAAGAAAAAAAAGATCAAGAGTGACTTCAAGTTACACCTCCTACAGGAGACAAGCAAGCGTTTTCGGTAGCATTTGTAGACGTTGAAATTTTGTTGGTCGAAATTCAAAGTTTGACCATGTGACTAGTCATAATTGACTAGAACGAGTCGTGTGCCTACACAAAATACACGTGGCACATGATTCACCAAGGTAAAATGGGCCACCAGACGTGACACATGTCTTCATGAGGAGTTCCATTCAAATTAATGAGGCCAAATTCCAAAAAAGAGCAATTTAATTATCATTTGGTCAAAATTCCACTATTCCAAAAACTAAGGGATTGAAATTGGATCTTCCAAACCAAAACTCACCACTTGATCTTGAACAAATTAAGATCATGAGGAGTTTCACGAGGTGGATGGTCTTCGGCTTTGATAGTAAAGGAATCGGCACATTTGTTTGTTGCGTTTGATGATTCTCCACAAAAGTGTTTGGGTGTTTGTATTAGTCATAGAGCTTTATGGGTTTCCTTTCTAAAATCCCTTCTAGGTCATAGTTGACTAGGTAGTGTCTCTATACCTTTATACTCGAATGCAACTCCTCTCATTTTGTAACCCCAGTTTAAATTCCCTCCCAAATAGATTAGAGCACATAGCTTATAGCCGAGTTCGAAGGTCCTCCCTCATAGATTAGAGTAGTTTATCACTCGAGTTTGAAGCAAATTATAGTAATTTTCCAGAAATATAGAGAATGTGAGATACCAAAATACTTGCTAGGTTTCTTGATCGAAATGGAGGTTACAGCTGCAGAGAACTCAAAAGGTTACATTTTTATTCTCCAAACTTGGACCCGAAGCAAGCTAATGCTTGTTTCTGGTAAGTAGCTTCTTGAACCAGTTTGCGGACATCTTTGGATATCTCTTGAGGGTTTTGAAATCTACGTAGACAATGCCAAATCTGGAAGTGTATCCCAGCCTCCATTCAAAGTTATCGAGCAACGACCAAGCGAAGTAGCCCATCACATTGGCTCCGTCATCTGCTGCCTTCTTCAGTTGAGTTATGTAACTCCTGTAGAAGTTGGCCCTTGTCGTGTCGCGCAATCCCTCCGCAAGTGTCACATTGCCAGGGTCGTCCATTCCTGCAAATCGAAGAACACCAACCGAATCACAACTAAAAAAAGGTCGTACCCAGTGCACAAGGCTCCCGCTTTACGCAGGGTCTGGGAGAGGTGAATGTCGGCTAGCCTTATCCCCATTTATGGAGAGGCTGCTCCCAAGTCTCGAACCCGAGACCTACCGCTCATGGGCGAAGGCACTTGCCATCGCACCAAGTCTTTCACAACTATGAAAGAAAAATGAAAACTAATCAGTAACTAGTTATAGTTTTCTTGTAGTGCTACCATTTTCAGATAAAATCACTGGGGGATTTCCATAATGCTCTTTTATGTACATAACAGCTTTGTACAAACCCCATGGCACTTGGTACAGCCAATAAGAATATGCCTGCAAAATGTTCAAATTATCTTCAATGAATAATGCTATAGTTTTTGAAAATTTGAAGTGAAAGGAACTATTGTGATTGGATCATAATTAAGTTACCCTAGGACCAATAGGCACTCCATTCTTTGCATCTGCAAATTGCATGAAATACATACAAGTTAGAAGTGTTTTTGCGTTTATAGAAGTACTTTATGAGCTTGGTATTGCTTCTGGAAAGAGAGAACACTTGTTTGACAATCAAAAGCAATTCTGTATGCATTTGGCAGAAAAGAGTTAGAAGTGTTTTTGGGTTCATAGAAGCACTTTATGGAAAAACACTTGTTAGATGCTTCTTCATAAAGTACTTCAAATTGCTTTTGTGAAAACACTTGGATTTAAAAGAAAATTTCAACTGGTATCTAATGAAACCACTTCTAGCATAAGCGCGTATGAGCATAAGTACTCCTTATAAAAGCAACCTCAAACAAGCATCTAAGGTAGAGAGAGGAAAACATCTTACAAGCAAATCCTGCATTCCAATCCTGCTGGTACCCCAAGACATTTGATTTTGATGGTTTTGGGTGATACATGTAGTAAGTAGTATATTGGTTGATTCCAACATAATCCATTGAACCCTTCACCATCTTAACCTCCTCTTTGGTGAACTTAGGCAGCCTGTCACCAACAATTTCTTGGACTGTTTTCGGATACTCTCCATAAACAATCGGGTGGATGAACCTACGAAAATCCAATCCAACAATTTTTTTAGTTATGATTTCTCTGTTGTAAATTTTCAGAGAATAGAATTCATTTCGTATAGTTACCATCCAACATGAAAGTCTCTGGCCCTTTGAGCTGCAAGGTTGTCAGCCTTTGATCTTGTAAGAGGCTCATACCAAACAAAATCCAAGAGAATACCAATCCTTCCTTTTTGTATTTTCTGAAGAATGCACATTACTCATTTCATTTGAAGACTGCAAAGGAGAAATATAAAGCAGCATGTTAAGACAAAATAGTTTCTTTTACCTGATACTTTTCGCGGTATCTCTGAACGGCAGCTCCGTGTGACAAAATCAAATGATGAGCAGCAATATAAGGCTCGGTTGCTGAATTTCCAGCCGTGCAATTTCCAAATGCTTTGGAGCATCGTCCAGGAGCATGGAATCCGTTATCATATCCAAGAGCAGCAATCACTCTAGGCTCATTGAAGGTCATCCAGTTCTTCACTCTGTCTCCAAACGTCTTGAAACAAAAGTCTGCATAATCAGCAAAATCTTTCCTGCCAAAATTGAACCACATCTCAGATTCCAGTACTACTCTTGCTAGTTTGTCATAACATTTTTTTGTATAACAATTTATTCGAAAATACGATCTTGGATGACGATAAAGTTTGATAGAATTTTCACAGTACTTACACCACTTTGTCACTTAGCAATCCCAAGTACTTCTTCTCAAGAGCTAGGGGAAGATCATAATGATATAAATTTGCATATGGAGTAATGCCTACAGAACAACAAGACATAAAAATCAAAGACCATAGCTGCATAAATTGTAGTTCTTACTTCAAACCGCCATCTTAGCGTACAGAAAATTCTATCATACAGCAATGCATGTCATACATCAGCGCTTTTAACCACAAAAACGCGACATCTTCACTTTTTACCCTCAGGGCATAGAATGATAAAGACCACCATTTGATCAGCAATGTATGTCATACATTGCTAGATGATCAGAACTCTCCGTTCCAAAGTTTCACGGCATTTACCTCTTTTGAGCAAGTAGTTAATTAACCGATTGTAGTATGCAACTCCCTTCCAATTTACATTCCCAGTGCCATCTACATAAATTAAGAAACAGAAGTTTAGAACAAAATAAATTTGAGAAATGAAAGAGGCATGAAAGAGATTAAGATCATTACTTGGAAAAATTCTGGACCATGATATTGAGAATCGATAGGCATCGAAATTTAGGCTTGCCATGAGATCAATATCGTCCTGTCGCAACAAAACCAGACTTTCATTTTCCTAACTTCAGACCTAAAAAAATCTACCACAATCAATATCTACTTTGAATTTGCTTTGGTTTTGTGTTTGAAACTTAAAACGGGCACTTTTGCTCTATGTCACAACAAGGACTTTCATTCAACTGAACAATTAATACTGCACCATTATCTTAAACTAATCACGCCCTATCACATAAGAAGTTAACACGCATGTAGTGCGTGATTAGATTGAGATATCACAAGTAATGTCTTGGTCGTGTTTTAAACCTATGCTTTTTTACACTTGTGAAGGTTGTTGTGAAACCGTAGAGGTTTGGTCATTAGATCTGTGCATGTTTGTCATGCATCCTCTGTTTTTTTTACAACTGCTTCAACATATGCAGGTTGAATACATCAAAAGGCAGATGAGTCTCTTTAATTTCTTTCTAATTTGTAAATAAATAAAAAATCAATTAAAGCGGAAAGAGAAAATAATAAAAGAATTATGAAAAATCCACCAGTTATACTGTAAATAATCTATTTTCTTATAAATTGTCGTACAAAATACTGTAGCTTTTATTTTTCGATAAAATTAAAATGGCAACCTTAAGTAAACAAAACTCCTTACTTTTGCGAAGTTCGCTAGAACATCTATCTTTATTTTGCAAAAAGTCTATTTTCACTACTCAAACCCTTAATGTTTCGGTCCAAAAAATACACCGTTTTTGTTGCGCCGCTTTTTTTTCGATAAATTTATGATGGGAGAAAAACAAACTTACTTTGTATCGGTGATACTGGTCCACAGCAACATCTGCTGTACCATTATTTGCAATAATTCCTATATCCAAATAAAAAATAAATATTCAACAAAAAAAATT